CTTTTTATTCTTTTATTTATATGTTATTTATCTATCGTATTTTTATATTTATTTCTCTGTTTATATTATTTATATCATTGTATTCTTATTATCTATATATTATTATATTATTCTTATTATATTATTTTTATGTTTATATTATTTAGATTTTCTTATTGTTATTCTTTTATATTTAGATGTATTTGTTTATTCATCTTATTCATCTTTTATATTATTATCATTTATATCTATTTTCATTTTATATTTATTCTCTTTTGATTTATATTAATATTAATTTTATCTTTTATAATTTGATTTTATTATTATATCATTGATTATCATTTCTCCTTTTATTTATCATTTATTCTTATTATTATTTTGTTTTTTTCTATATTCTATATCATATATTCATATCATTTTCATTTATATTTTATTACATATTATATGTTATAATAATAACATAACACATATGTTTGAATATATAATAAACATCATAATGAAGTTATACATATAAATAATAAACATAAAAACGAATAAAATATTTTTCATTAATAAAATAATATTAATTATTTTACATCATTAAATTAGACACTTTTTATTGAATATTTCTAATTTTTACAATAAAATTACACTTTTTATTTCTTCTTTTCTTCTTTTATTGCCTCTTTGTGATTTATTATTTTTATATTCTTTCTTTTTCGACTTTATTTTTATTCTTTTATTTTTTCTTCATCTTCTTTTTATTCTTTTATATCATTCATTCTCTTCCTTTTCAATTATCTGCTCTTTTTCGTTGCCATTTTAATTGTTATTTATTTTTATTAACAACAATAAAAAAGAATAATTAAATAAAAATAGCAATTAATATATTCATCTAACTTGATTGTATTATTATAAAGAAATGACTATTTAATTGAATTTAATACACTCTTCTTTTACAATAAAATCCATTTCAATTATATGAGAATTGAATATTATTTTAATATACTGTCATAATTGAATGTGTCAAACATTGTATCTTTCATTTGATTAATAATAGTTATTTGCAGTATTTTGTTTACTTTTTATTTATAATATTAATTCTTTCAATGTTCATATTAATTCTCTTTGTATTAATTCATTGGTATTATTACAATGATTATTTACATGGTGTTTTATTTATTTACATAATTTTTATTTAATTACATTCGTTATTTCATTCATCTTAATCTTCTTACAAATTGCTTCTTCATTCTTTTATTTATTTCATACTATTTCTATTTTATTATTTCTTTTATGTCTTTTTGTTCAATGTTTTGATATTGTCTATACATTCTTCACACTTTATTTTGATTGATACATTATGTTTTATATTTGAATTAATGATAAAATACATATAATGAAAATGAATGAAGTTATGAATAAAACAAATAATATAATTATTATCATTGTCATGTTAATATAAATAATGTATAATTTCATTCATTCTTCTATTATTTATATTTATTGGTTGTTATGAATTTCTCATTCTTTTGTTATTTGTTTTTATATTATTTGTGTGTTGTTTCAGAAATTTTATCTTCTTTGAAGAAATAGTTTAATAAAATAAATTAAAACATCATGAAATATATAATATAAATTTATTTACTATCTCCTTTTTGATTGTCTGTA